ATATTAGACTTGATTTATTTTTATTTAGATTTTTATAAGTCTCATTTTAAATCAAAATATTTTATCAAATGTTAATTTTTTTCGTAAAAAAAAAAAATATAATAAAATATAATATATATTTTTAATATATTTAATATACTTTTATATATTTATATAAGTATATTTTATATACTTTTAATATATTTTCTTTTTTAATTTCTTTAAATTTTCATTCATTTAGCTAATATGAATATAAAGCTCTTTTCTATCTTATTTATTAAATTTTCTATTTTAACAGTATTAAATTTTTGAAATGTTAATAAAACTTATAATGTTTCTGATTCATTTCAATTGTTTATAAAATTTGTGATCAACAATTGTTTTCCACAAAATTATTCATAATAATTTTTTTTATGTAATAAAAATTTTTTCTTTTTATATAGACACAAATTATATCTATATTTATCTACATTATACATTATCTACATTATATCTACATTAAAAGTATTAAAAATTTTATTAAAATCAAAAAACATCATTTAATGTTTTTTATTGAAGTATAATAAATCATATCAATAATATATAGCATATAACTTCAGAAAAAAACGTTATAAGTTGAATTTTTTATTAATCAATCAATTAATATTATTTGAGTAACATAAATGGTATGTATATTATAGAAAAAAAATATTTATTAAAAAATAGAGATATTAAATAAAATAGAATAAAATTAAAACATTTTTATAATTACGTTTTTTAAAAATATTTGTAGATCAATGAATCATATCATTCATCATAGAATTTATTTTTTTTTTACCAATTATAATATGATAACAAAAACATATATATTACTTTATTTAAAAAAAAACTATAAATAAAAGTAATAAAAATAATTTCAAAAATTGAAATCTTAAACATAAAAAAGAAATTGAAAATAGAATTTTTATTAATATATTTAAATCTTATAATCAAATTGTTCATATATATATATATAAATAACTATAACAAAACTATTTATTTTTAATTATAAATTACTCACTGTATGTTTAATAATATATTTAAAGTGTTTAATAAAACCAAAAGCATTATAATATAAATATTTAATAAATATAATAATTTCAAATACAAAATGTTCAAATAAAGTAGGTAAAAATTTAAGAGATGATTCTATATGATAGAAATTAAAATAAACACAATTCATATGCAAAAATATCCATCCAAGTTTTTTTTCAAATTATGTAGCATTTAACTTTGGATTGAAATGAAATATGATATAAATGGAATGGATTTTATTTTTGAAAGATAAAATCACTACTACATAAAATTAAATTAATTAAATAATTTAAAAAATAAACTTTAATATTTTTGCATATTAATTTTTATATTTGTTTTTTTGTTTTCAATTTTCTATCTATTTTATGTGAATATGTTCAATCTGTATGAATAGTTACAGATAATTCCATAGTAAATAATATAAAAATAATAAAATTTGTACTAACAATTTTATTTTATTAATTACAATAATATTTAAATCTGAATATTATATAATAACATGAATGAAATATTTTTATAATAATTTTTATAATAATAATTAGAATTAATAATTAACATCAGGCATGAAATAAATTTCTTTTTTTCTTAAATGAATAAAATTAATAATAAAATAAATATACAAAAATTGTTAATATAAAAATTACAACACTTAAACTAAATATACTGTACAATTTTTTTGTATATATTGTTGACTCTCCTTTAATGAGGAGTTTTCGTTTATTTATGCATATATTTTTATTAAATTAATAGCTTTTTTAATTGCATAAGTTCATTAATAATAAAAAATATACAATGCACAATGTTTTAAGAAATAATTTTTTAAGAAATACTTTTAGTTATCATGCTAAAATATAATATTTCACTGCAATAAAATTTTTTCTATTTATTTATTTATATTTTATTCTAAAATATAAGATCTAAAAGATTTAGAGATATGTATATACATAGTATAATAATGAATTGTATTATCAATAGATTAAATTAGCAATCTATTATTAGATAAATACATTATAATCAATATTCATTAAAATATATTGCATATTTAATGTACAATATATTTTTAATCAAATTATTGTTTCATTTATATTTTTATAAGATTATAGTACTTCTATTTAATGTTATATTTCTAACAATTAGTAATATTTGTATAATTCTAATTTTTAGATATTTGTAAAAAGCAAAATACATACTATATATTGTATAGTAATTTGAATATTAGGAAAATACAATATTAATTATAATAATTTTTATACGCTGAAATTAAATAATATAATATAAATATTTAATTTGTAAATAGTAGCATGATAAATATTGTTTTAACAATGGTTTTCAAATTTGTATGTTTTAATGTAATTTACAGAAAAAAAATGTGTATAAAAATATAAATTATATATAATATATATATAATAATATTAATTTTTTATGTTAAACTTCATAAAATTTTCATCTAATTTATTTTTATTTCTATTCCATTCTTTTAATTGTATACTGATTTATAAACCAGATATATATCTATTGAATTGCATTTATTGAAAATCTTATATTGAAAATATTTAAATGAATACATATTATTTGTATTTTTATTTATATTTTTTCGAAGGATATATCAGATCTGATTCCAAATAAATATATATTATTTATTTCAAACAAATATACAACATTTTCTTAAATATATTTATTTAAATATTTTTAAATATATGTGATTTTATATATATAAGTATAATATGTTTTTAATATAATATATTAGTAAATAGATATTGTTATATTTTAACATTTATACAACTTATAATTGTAATTTTGTTTTTATTTTGATTGTTTTTGAATACTTATTTTAAGTTAGCTTGATTATTTTTTCGAAATAATCTTATGAATATAGATAAGACTACTCTTTAATAAAATTTTATTTATGTTTTATTTAATTTGTTGAATATTGGTCATATAAAAATTAGTGATTAATATTATTCATTATTATAAAAAATACATACGTATAATTATTATATGTAATAATTTTATATAATTTAATTTTTTGAGGCTACAAAACTTATAGTCAATTTTTTTATTAAAAATTTTATCTCTTATATTTATAAGTTATTTTCAAAATTTATTATATATTAGAAATTAATATCTAATAATTTTCTTTTCAAAAACATATATGCAATAGTAATTGCTTACTGTTAAAATATTTTTATAAAATTAATAAAATATTTTATAAAATAAATTAAAAATTAACCAAATAGAAAAGAAGAAAGGAGCGACCAAAAAAGTGAGAAAGAGAGAAAATATTATATATTTTTTGCAATAACTTAATAAATAAAATAATCTATTTAAATCAAATAAATTAATAATTAATAATGTGTATTTTAAATATATTAATAGTATTGTTTTATATGTATGAATCACATTCAGAATTTTTTAAAATTAGATATTAAATATAAATAATTTATGATGCAACGCATGC